GTACAGGACCTACCCCACATCTAGGGGTTCTCATCCAGGAAAGCCAGAAAAAACCCTTGAGACACAAAGACACGGCTCCCTGTCTCTCCTGGTTCTAATTTCTGTCTTTTGCTGAGTGACACAAAGAATTTTGACATAACTGACTAAGCCACCTGTAAAGAGCCGTGCTCCACTGGACCAGAAACAGCATAAACAACATCGCTGAAGCAGCTGGTGGGCCATGCCTGCAATCCACATTCCTCGCAACACAGGTAAGCCTCCCTGTGACCCATGCTTCATCTCTACTAGCTCTCCCTTCTCCAGGTACAAGGTAGCACAACATACCTAGAAAAGTCTTCCCTTCAAAGACAGATTCCTATGGAATAAGAAAAAGGGCCATAGCCGGGCAGTGGTGGCACACGCCTTTAATCCCAGCACTTGGGAGGCAGAGGCAGGTGGATCTCTGTGAGTCTGAGGTTAGCCTGGTTTACAAGAGCTAGTTCCAGGACAGGCTCCAAAGCTACAGAGAAACCCTGTCTCAGAAAAGAAAAAAAGAAAAAAGAAAGGACAAAAGAAAAAGAAAGAAAGAAAGAAAGAAAGAAAGAAAGAAAGAAAGAAAGAGGGCCATACCAGCACATCTCTCTCTAATGTCTAATCTAGTTGCAGAATCAAACCCCTCAATCACATATGCAGCTACTACTGGGGAACTTCCGTGTGTTCCTCTACACACTTGACTCTTCACGTGTGTCTTGTCTTTCTGCTTCATCAACACTAACTGCTTTACTCAATCTGAAATTTCTTTTGTTGAGAAACACAGAGAGAGAGAGAGAGAGAGAGAGAGAGAGAGAGAGAGAGAGAGAGAGAGAGAGAATATGAAGTCCTGGGTGAATGTGTATTATTGACATGGGCACAGCCATGTCAAAGACCCTAATAACTCAGAAATATGAAAGCAAAGTCTTACCTGGGTGACACTCAGAGGAATAAAAAGGAATAACAAAGCCTTCCCCTAGCCCAAGGGTTTAGGAAAAGACTGGCCAGTGTGTGCGAAAACTGGAAACCATAGCTTCCTCCCATTCCTCCAGGACTGCTTCCAGACAGCGACAGCCTGCTGGGACTACCTAATCCCTCCTCCTTATTGACGGTAGGAGGTGTTTCCATCAGTGAGCACATCCCACCCAATCACAGCTTTTCTGTAAGTTTGTCTGCCGTTCCTTCATTCCTACCAAGTCCCCCAGCCAGGTTTCCGCAGAACTCAGCACTCACACCCACAAACACACTGGCCCTGAGAGTCCTCGGGCTGTGTGACACAACCCTGAGTGGTAGCTCCCACTGCTGTTGACAATTCCAACGGACTAGATTCCACTCTTTGTTCTTTGTTTCAAGACTGATTTTATTATTTGTGCGAATGTGCAAGTGTGCGCGTGTGCAGACAACCAAACTCCTTGTTCTTAAAGAGAGTCATGGAGGTCAACTCTGTCTTTGCAGAAAGGATGCACCTTCACATCTACCCTGCATACTGCTATGCACAGAGGAGCAGGAGAGTAACTCAAGTACCCTCAGCTGCCACTGATGCCTTAAAGTCTTGTCCACCTCCCGATTTGTTTACACTGTACTACGCTAGGTTTCCTGTCGCTGGCAGCTAAAATCTCAACTGACGTACATCTGTATGTGCAAAACTCTTACAAGACTTAAAACCCAGAGCTTTTGATTTTCCTAATAGACAGTGACCCTCCCCTTAGTGAAACTCCAACTTTTGTCAAAATCATTGCTTATGACATGAAGCAGATCCCCAAATAAAGAAACTGGGATCTTTGAGACTGTAGCACATCAGACAAAAAGGAAAACACCATTTTTCTCTAATGAGCTACAAAACAATGCACACAAAAAAAATTGCAATACAACCAGCACTCTTCTCAAACTTGAGCAATCAAAATTATTGTAGAGGATTCTGGTTTCGTCGAGAAACAAAACATGACTTGAACACAAGGGAGACCACACACCGGCCCTTGGGAAACAAGAAGTCTCACAGGCTCTCCATTACTTAAGTCGGAGCAGGTGAGTCCATACCAGAGAGAAAGCAAAGTGCAGGGCTAGAGATACATCCCACAAACGGGAGACAGACTCTGCATGGTCCCTCAGTTCCTGGAAGACTTCAGCTGTCAGAACGTGGTAGGCTCAAGGTCACCCAGGAGGATGGGGGTGGGAGCAACTGCAGTCACCCTCCAACAGCTCCAGGTAGAGCAGGACCCAAAGTTTTGACCTCCTGCTGTGAATAACCAAATTTCTGGCACTGAGCCTGAATTTCTAATTCATATTTGAGGCCAAGAACTGAGTTAAACCCAAACCTAGAGTCACTGCCACTCAAACAGTGATGAGCAGAAAAGTAGCAAAGCACACAGAGAACTCTTCCAGGCCAGGAAACTTTGAGTTCAGGTGTGAGGCCAGGACGGTGCCCCAGATTTTATATCCTGCCTCAAGATCTTTACTGAGCCTGGAAAAGGATAGGTAGCTAACAGCTACCTAGTCACGGTAATACTCAAAGCCAGGTACCCACGCTAGGAAGAAGGAGCTCAGGCAGGATCCTCAAGTGTTTCAAGTCTCAAATGTCACATGTATTATCTTGAAAATTTAGAGTGTGCCACTCACCGAATAACAATCAAACCCATACTTTACTGTCAGAATTCTGCTGGACATTCCTAAAGAGGCAAATTCAAAGGGATTTACACCTGGCTATCAGCAAGTAACCCCAGGCAACCCATGTCCTGGCATGTCTTCAAACTGCAAAGTAAAATGAGTTAGAAAAAGCCCATTTTCTATAAGTTTGTACAGATTTTTAAAACTTAAATCCTAACTTTTCCTTTATCAAGTGTTCTTTTTCTAAGTCAGTGTTGTAACATCTTATCCCACATTCAAGTTTTTGGAGAAGGCTTTACTATTTTCTCATTCTGAAAAAAGAAAGAAAGAAAAGAAAAAAAGCAGTATCAGCGTTGGGGCAAGCCAGGTGGTGGTGGTGCGTGCCTTTAATCCCAGCACTAGGGAAGGAGAAGCAGGCAGACCTGTGTGAGTTTGAGGCTAGCCTGGTCTCCAGAGCAAGCGCCAGGCCAACTAGGGTTGTTACACAGAGAAACCTTGTTTCGAAAAACAAACAAAAAAAGCACTCGGGAAGCCACACCTGTGTTCCCGCTTTTCTGGGGTGCTCTTGGACCAGGAAGGGTGGTCAGTACCAAACTCAGCGTGGGCTGTAACCGCTACTCCAAACTTTGACTAATTTGGAGCGCGGGTTGCAGTATCCTCCTCCAGTTTTTACTGACTCCCCATTTTATGTAACAGAGAGACCCTACTTTACCATGAAGACTGGTGTTGCTAAAGTGAGTCATGTGCCAATTTGGTGACTATGCTAACATCACCAAGTGCACATACACTAGCTCAGATATCGAAGGTTAATCACCTGAGCGGCCTCTCAACCAGTTCCACACTTGAGGCGGCTGCTAGCACAGCAGGGCGTGCTGTCTTACAGGAAGCTTTCTGGAGAGAAAACTAAAGTCACGACAGAAGTACAGTTACAGTAAATACATGAACGAATAAGAGCGGATTATCCTTGTTATTGTTACTGGGCTGGGGATGTGGTTCAGAAGTAGAGCTTGGCATTCCTGAGACCATGAGCTCCATCCCCAGCACCCCCAAAAGTAAACATTACACACGACACCGAACTGCGTGCAGTAACTCTTACAAAGCTAGCAGAGCAGACTGATAATATCAGCGATTCCTTGAACTAGGATGTAACAATCATTACAAGGTTACAGGGATGCCATCTTCACATAAGTCGTTTGTCCTCCATCAAAGCATTAGCATCTGGCAAATGACTACAGACTAGCCTGATCTGTAGAAGTTTAAGCCACTAATGCAAAAGGAACAGGGCGGGCAAGCTGGCTGCTGCTGTAACCGCCTCCACCGGCATGTTCCTTCTCATCATACACACCTGTTCTTGTACAGTTCATAAACTGCTTGGCTTAGTGTTCCGTTGAACAAACCCATATGCTTTCTATCTTTTCCTCTCTCGTCCCCCCCTTCAAAAGTAGTGTAAATCCATATCAAGAACCTGGAAATCTCGGCCAAAAGCCTCTAAGAAGACACATCTTCACCATCCCTCTTGGCTACCTGCATTGTGCAACAGTTGACCTCTGCACTCTGCACGGGCCCTCTCGGGACCGCCTCTCCGGTTCCAAAGCTGGTAGCGTAGACAGCTGAAAGTGTGCGCGCGCGCAAGAAACCAAGAATTGGACTCCCACCGTGGGATCTGTGAACTCAAAAGCCAACTAGACTGAACTCAAACACGGGATCGCTGCCACTCTATACTGATGGACCGGTCTTGGAAGTGCACAGCCAAGTAGCAGAACGGGTGCGTAGCCAGGGACGACCTTGACACAGATGCAACAGGCTTCTCCGCCCCAGAGAGGTGTCCCAGTTTTCGACAACTGAGTGCAAACTGATAATACAACCAGAGATCACAAGGACGTCTTCACGAGGCACAGGAGAGATCTACGCTCAACTCTAGCAGGTGCTCCCAATCAAGCACGGTCCCCGGCTTTTCCAGGGGGAATGGTGGGCACGGACCCAGGCCGGGCTCGCCTCCCGCTCCGGTTCCCCTTGTCAAAAGAGGACGAGGGCGGGAAGCGCGGTCCGCCCATGCAACACGCGCTCCGAGTTCGTCAAAGTTTGGGGAAGCGGCTGCACCCCACGACGAGTTCAGTACCGACCACCCCTCCCGGTCCAAGAGCGCCCCAGAAAAGCGGGACTCCGGTGTGACTTCCCGAGCGCGCGCCCGCATTCACCGGTGTGCCTTCCCGAGCGCGCGCCCGCATTCCAGGCATCCGCTCCGCTACGTTTCGGCAGCAGCAGCGTGAGGATGCCGACCCCCGCGGCTCCGCTCGGCCCTCTTCGGCCCCGCTCGGCCCTCTTCGGCATCCCTCGGCCCCGCTCGGCTCCCCTCCCCTCAGCTCCTATCCCCACGCCCTACTCACCTGGGGAGTGGGAGGCTCCGCTCTCCGCGCGTTGAGTCCGCGATGTGGACGCCGGGAACCTATTGCAAAGCGATCCGGGTGGGCTCCCAGTCGCGCGTCTCTCAGCCGCTCTTTGTGTCTGGCGCCCGGCGCGCTCCCCTGGGCTCCCAAGGCCTCCGGGCACCGCCCCCTCGTTCTCGCGGGGCCTCCCCAGGGAAGGGGAGGGGCGGTGTCAGAGGGCGGAGCCTTAGGGGCGGGGCAAGGAAGCAAGCGGAGCTGGACCAAGGGGCCTAGTTGGTCAGGAAGAAAAGGATACAGTAAAAAAGTTAGGCTCTGGGAAATAGGGTGTCATAAAAAAACAAGTTATTTAAGTCCTTTCAGGTGGAGAATTCTACAGAGTGGAAGGCAGCCAGGGTCCTGTAAAAAGCCCATTCCATACTCTGATCAGCCATACTTTGGCTGTTTCCCTTTTGATGTGTCATAACTTGTCCCAGCCAGTGATGGACTGGACAGCTATGCACACCCTGTGGCCGTGGTGCAGCTGTAGGACATATAACCAGGGTTTGATTCCCTCTAGATTGTAGTATGAGGTTCCCAATTGCACTGTGCCATAGTTGCTACTGTGAAGAATGTGTTTTATTGGAACTGGGGAGATGACTTGGGGCATAAAGACACTTGCCTTGCAAGCCTGATGATCCGAGTTCAATCCCCAAGACCATGAAAAGGTGATAGGAGGTGTTGGAGAGTTGGCTCAGCAGTGAAGAACACTGGCTGGTCTTCCTGAGGACCCAAGTTCAATTCCCAGTATCCACATGACAACTTACAACCATCTGTAATTCCAGTTCCAAGGGATCCAATGCCCTCTTCTGGGCTCCTCAGTCACCAGGCGTGCATGTGGTGCATAGACATACATGCAGGCAAAACACCCATCCACATACATCGACCCCACAGAGCTTTCTTCAGAACACACACACACACACACACACTGTGGTAATGCTCCTCTGGACACACACACACACCACACACATGCAAGCATCGTGCACACACACACATTCACACAATATTAAAACTTTTAAAATACTTTTAAAAGACTATACATTTTATCTCCTTACACTCTGGGTTTTCATGTACTGTTAGAGCGCAAGCCTGGTATTAGTGAGAATCACCATGCCATTTACCGAATGTTCGACTTTTTACCATCCAGTTATATGGTCTTTCGGATCTTCTCTTCCTTCATCTGTGAAGTGGAGTTGAGAAAAATACCCATTGTAGGGAGACGAACTAAATGATCTATCCGGTCAAGTTAGCAACCAAATTCAGCCGTCACAGCAGTGGCTCCTAGCCAGAGAGAAACAGGGTATGTTGCTTACTTTCCCTGTCTACAGCAAATAGTTGAGATAAAACTTATGAGGAAAAAGGGTTTCTTTGGGCTTTCAATTTTAGAGGTTTTAGTTCACACCACATCAAATCTGGAGTGGGGTGGGGACGGGTAGCGGCAGAATCCCTTTGGGGGACCTCCTCAATGACCAAAAGATTTGGTGCTGGGGTCTATTGCTTCAACAGTACCACAGACTAGAACCAAGCCGGTAATATGTGGGAAACATACCTGCTCCAACTCTCATGTGAGGGGAATAAGGCCCTCCATACAACAATTTAAAATTTAAAAATACCAATGCCTGAACCGTCCTCTGGACATTTGCTCTGGAAAGAGTCTGAGTCAATCTTGTCTCTCTTTCTTATTATACTCCTTAGTCTAATCCACACTTCCCAACCGCATAATATCCTGGTGGGTCTTCTTTTTGTGAACATTTTATTTGTTTGATTTCTAAAGGTGATTTAATCAATTTAGTCAGTGAGCATGGGGGGGGTGTCACGTGTGTTTCCTGGAGTTGCAACATCCGTGTCAAGCTAAGCCATCGCACAGGCTCCAGAAGGAAGTATGTTTTAAACAATAATTACTTACTATTTCTTCTTTTAACAAAAAAGGTAGAACACATGCTCCCAAGCCGTCACTAAAGGAGTGGCATTCAGACCAGGTTCTGAGACTACCTGACTTCCCACATAGAGACAGTTGCTTTTCCCGATAGAAATATACATTTTCCCCTTCAAATCTCTCTGACAGGCAGATGACACTTACCTTCCCAACAACAAAAGTTGCATTGTCCTGGGACAAAATTCGATCCCCTTTCATTTGTGGATATAATGTGTCATTTTAAAGCCAAGGATCTAGGAAACAAGGCTTCTCCCCCAGAGTCTATGGGTTTAGCAGCCCATGCTGCTACCTTATCTATTCTCGCTCAGGAAATGCTGAGCAGCTGGGCGGCTCACACTCCAGCATGGCTGACTCACATTCATTTTAAAATTATCAGTTGTCTGTGTGAAGGCCACAGCTCTCCCTCCATTTTACACAGTTGTTTTGGCAGTAACTCAGTAAACTCTTGAACTAATATTGCTATTTTCTTTTGTCTTTTTATTTAATTTTAATTAATTTATTAATTGACTTATTTAGTTTGGTGCTGAGCATGAGCTTACAGCCAGCAGCTGGCTGAGCATGTGCTCGAACTGATCTGCATCTCCAGTCTTAACATTGCATTCATTCTCAAGGTATGATCCAGTGAGAAGCACTAACAGAATTTCTCTCTGGTCCTCGGACCATATCTTCTTCTTTGAATTTTGTCCTTTTGTTCCCGACTGAACCAGAGGAGGAAATGACAGAACCACTGCAAAGGTTTCATGGTGTTCTTGAGAAATCTGCCATTCTAAAAAATCTCTTTCTTCACCATTTGATATGAGTGACATTTGGTCCGGGTGTCGGGAATTGAACCCAGGGCCATGTGCATGATAGGTATGTGCTCTATCACTGAGATTCACTCCCAGCCGATAATGACTTTATGACTTCCTGCCTACATTTTCTCCTCCCTCCTCCGTCCTTGTCTTCCTCCCTCCCTTTAGCTGCATCTGCACCCAGCCTTCTTGCCCACTATTTTTGATATCAGTTGGCTTGTACTGTGTGATTTCTTCCTGCTTGATCATTCCTCTTCTCCTCCTCCTTTTCCTCATTTTGTAAGACACGGTCTTTCTATGTGGGCCAGGCTGGTCTGGAACTTGGTAATCCTCCTGTCTCAACCTTCCAAATATCAGGATTATAGGTACATACCACCACACTCTCCTTCCTTCCTTCCTTCCTTCCTTCCTTCCTTCCTTCCTTCCTTCCTTCCTTCTTTCTTTTCCTTTTTGATAGTCTAGTAGCTGGAGGACATAGCATGGAGGGGGATGAAATGGAGCGATAGTTTAGCTAAGATGCTGCTTTAGTCCAGTTTTTGTTACATAAAAAATACTTGCAGTTGGGTAATTATAAAGAGAAGTGTTTAATTGAGCGCAGTTTCAAATACTGATGATCTAAGATTAGGTGCTCCTGACTAAGGTTGGCCATGCTTTTTCACATACTTGGTGTCAAATTCTTTTTTTAATGGTGAAAAAAGATGTGTAGTTAAAATTAGCCAGCTGAACTCACTTTAGATGATCCCAGTTTTGTTGAAAACATATAAAGCTAGCAGAATATTTGTTGGCAACATCCAAAGCATCATATTCAGAAGCGAGAGGAGCATTTGCTTTCTTCTCTTCATCAGCCCTCTCAGGGTATCAACTTAAGTAACTACATTGTTGTAAGAGTTTCTCCACTGCCTGTTTCATTTGGAGCTTGTTGCCTTCTCTCCACAATTGACACAAATGTGTTATCATCTATCTTCATGGCTCTGTGATCAAGGAGAACTTGATTTTCCCACGGTGGTCAAACTAGTTTCTCCTGGAGACACTCATGAAAGGGTATTTGGACCTTATCTGAAGGCACAGGGTCTTGAGCCTTTGAAAGTGTGTGACCTGTAGATCTTCTTCTTGTGACTGGGGATGCCTTTCAGCACTGTCTACCTAACTTTCAGTTCCTTCACTTGGGAGGGAAAAGAACTTTCTTCTTCACTTTCATCTATCTTTTGGTGAAAAGGCTTTCTTTCTTTCTTTCTTTCTTTCTTTCTTTCTTTCTTTCTTTCTTTCTTTCTTTCTTTCTTTCTTTTTTCAAAACAGGGTTTCTCTGTAGCTTTGGAGCCTGTCCTGGTACTAGCTCTTGTAGAACAGGTTGGTCTCAAACTCACAGAGATCTGCCTGCCTCTGCCTCCTAAGTGCTGGGATTAAAGGCATGCTCCACCACCGCCCAGCAGTGAAAAGGGTTTCTGATCTTAGCCTACTCTTGCTAGAACTAACCAGGAACCCACAAGAACAATATCACCATCTTCTGAGGGCAGTGGCCACAGTGATCTAACCACCTTAGACTAGATCCTTCCTTTCTAAAAATTATTTTTCTTTGGCTTTGTTTTTTTAACAGGAGCATAGCTATATGGCCCAGGTTGGCCTGAGAATTTGAATTCTCTAGCCTCAAGTATTTAAATACTGGGGTTTCAAGCATGGAATTCTATGCACAGCCTACCACTGTAGGCGGAGGCTGCTTGTTTGTTCCCGGCCAAAAATAATCACACAGAAACTGTATTAATTAAAACACTGTTTGACCAATCACTTAAGCGTATTGCAAGCTAGCTTGTATATCTTAAATTAACCCATTTATATTTTACCACGAGGCTTGTGGTTTACTGGTTATTATCTAGCAGGAAGACATCTTTCTCCGTTAGCACCTACATGGCATCTCCCTGACCCCACCTACTGTCTCTCTATATGTCTGTTTGGATTTGCTGCCTGGCTTTTCCTGCCTGGCTTTACTCTGTTATGTCATTGGCCAAAAGCCACTTCTTTACTAACAAATAGCAATAAAACATATTCACAGCATACAGAAGGGAATCCCATATCACCTCCCCTTTTCTGTCTAAATAAAAAGGAAGATTGAAGATGGATGCTATAAAGTAATCCCACACTAGTTTAGAATTGGGTATAATAACGAGTTATTTATTTAGAAGTAGACTCACAGATCATAGTCCTCTGCATGAACAGGGAACAGACACTGAATCCAGCAGCCAGGAGAGCAGGCATGCAAGCTTTATGGCTACATTTATAGTATAAGAGACCACCAACTGGAATGGGAGTGAACGAGCATGGGAACAACCAAGCCCCCCTGAAGGGGATTGACATCTGGGGCAGACTGAGGGGACACTGATAGTGACCCGTGGAAAGACAGATCATAGGAC